TTTTTTTTTTTTGTGTTGTGCAAAATTTTCATTCATTGCCAACTTGGTTCGCAAACTGCAATTGTCCATAATTCCTCTGCATGTCAACAACACAGCACACACACACACACACACACGACGCACGCACGATACACGCAGCCATGCAAGCCTGAATGCAATACAGACTAGAAAATCTAAGATAAAATGTAAATTTAATAACCTGCAGAGAATGGAATTTGTAAAATCTGTTGCAAATTTCATAGAAGAGGACAGTTTGAGTAAAAAGTTTACGAATTATAAATACGTTATGTAATATATGTAAATACATTAAATACAGATGTAAAAGTGTCCGTGCAAACTTTGAGGTCTTCACCAAACACACTCTTCCGCCCACAGGTATGCTTTGCATGGCACAAACTTTTAATCTCCTTGAAAAGTTGCATCAGCATTGTGGCTTTTACTGGCCGAGAAAGTTCGAGCAAATTTTACAATATTTTCTAGCAACTTCGTCGACACAATGTACATAGATATGCGCGGTGTTTACAACAAAAACCACAGCAACAACAAAAGGTGCATTAAAATCAGTTACAATTTGCAACAACGACAACAATAACCAACGGCATTGAGCAACAGCAAACATACCAAATGCAGATTGCAGCTATTAAAAGTTTTTAGGTTGCAACAGAGGCAAAGCACCGAACAAAAATAAAAACAACAACAACGAAAATTGCCCTAAAAATGTGTTAATAAGTGACCAAGCAGTTTATAGGCAATGGGAAGTATGCGAATTTGTTAAACAATGTAACATGCAAGTGCGAGCGCCTAAAAGTATGCATGCGAAATTAGTGAAGACAGTTTAAGTCGAGATTTTCGGGCATTTAGAACATTTATGAGCTGCTAAAATTTTATTATTTCAATAAATTTTTATACATTTCTTGAATACCGAAACCCCCAAAAGTATGCAACGAACGATTTGTTAGTTACAGACTTCAGCGCCCGAATGTATGCGTTATTTAAATGAAACTTAAGGCACAAAGCCGTAGTACTAAAATCTGAGGTACATGCATGTGTATTAGGGTGGTCCTTAAAATATTGGCAGCTAAATTTCGCGGGCCCCTTTTATTTGGTTTTACGTACAAATAAAGACAATTTCGACAATTTCAAAATTTTAAATAAATTTTTAGGAGTCGATACCAGGGTTTTGAAAAATTGGATTAAAGGGTGGTACTTAAAATATTGGCAGCTAAATTTCGCGGGCCCCTTTTATTTGGTTTTACGTACAAAATAAAGACAATTTCGACAATTTCAAAATTTTAAATAAATTTTTAGGAGTCGATACCAGGGTTTTGAAAAATTTGGATTAAAAAAATACAAATTTTGGCTTAGAATATGAAAAAATTTGCATATTATTGAAACTCATTCACATAAATTCATTAACTAGCAGCTCAATGACACACTTTTGTAAAATTTTTGCGATAAAAAAAAAATATTTTTTAAAACGGATTTTTTTTTTTTGAAATTTTCGTGAATTTCTTTACATTTTACGTGGAAAAATATTAAGGGGTGAGCCATAAATATAAATATTTTAAGAACCACCTTAATGTGCCTTGTTGAAAGCCATTATTTCAGGCTAAAATAAAAGGGCGCGGCGCAATACACAAAAGTATGCTATTTATAAATATATTTCGACTTCAGTGTCCTAAGCGCCAAAGGATATGCTAAATTTTTTTTTATAAAAAAGTAGTTCTAGTAGTGATGTTAGGGAATGTGGAAATTCGAGAGACTGATAGAATTTTTATTAAAAAAAATAAATATTTCTTGAAAAAATAAGTGTCAAAGCGCATAAAAGTATGCGCGGTTTATGAACAAATAACAATATTTCTCAAAAAAAATCAAGATTTTATAGAAATTGCTAGATAACGAACAATTTGCTAGTTACGGGCTTGATCGCCTGATTGTATGCAATATATTAATGAAACTCAAGCCATATGCATGTAGGTTTGAAATAAATAGCTTAGCTTAAGAAAGACTACAAATCACTACAGAGGTAAGCTAGCTATAAATAAATTTAATCGAATGTATCTTCAGCGCCTAAAACTATACACTTTATTTTTATCAATAGTAGCTTGTGCAGATTTTAAAGCATTTTAAATACGTAGGCGCGGCTGAAAATGTATTCAATAAAAAAAAATTTAAAGATGAAAGCATTGCCGCCTAAAAATATGCACTGAATCTGAGTTCAATTCAAATATTCCAATACTAAAAGTTGCTTTAGGAACCGAACGAATGTGATATATTATGCTGTAAGTTATATCTTGTTGAGTAAAAACATCAGCGCTTAAATGTATTCACCATTTAGGAGAAATTTAAACTAAAGCGGCTAAATGCAATAATATATTTAAAGAAAAAGTTATTTTGGGCTTAATAAAACGTTTATGAGAGCAAAATAAAAAAATAATAGTAAACATTTTTTAAACTACTTAGCTCAGTTAAATAACAAAGCACCGATGAATATGCAAGTAAAATTTCGCAAACAATTTTTTTGACATCACTTTCCTCACTCGTTTTACGATGCCTAGAAGTATGCAAAACGCTGAAAATTTTACAAATATAAAAATCGCCTAAATGTGTGCTACAACAGTTTTTGAATTCTTTTTGTATTCAATTAATTTCATTTAACTGTCGGCAGTTTTTTGTTTTTTGATTTTCTGCTTTGGAGTGTAAGCTGAAGTTAAAAACTCTCGCTGAAACTTTCAATTTAGGTTTTGAGCCTTGAAGTATGCACTGAATTTCAAACTTTGCATTGACTTTATAACATTTGCATTTGTAATATAATAAAAAATAAAAGCTCCATGAAGTTTTGTAAAAATTAGTATATTTAAAAATTTTTTTTGTTAAAATATGTAAATATAGATACGCTTAATTTTTTAGAAGATTTCTTTTATGGGGAATATATTGTCGAGTGAAAGTTCCGTTTTATTTCGGCGCCTAAAAATATACACCATCTAACGAAATTCGTAAATTTTATTAACGATGCGCCTAAAGGTATAATTTTGATTCTGATTCACAAACTATTTAAAGCACCTAACTGTGCTTTTTGTAACATTAATCTGTATTGTTTACCTTTACATTTCTTTTGAATGCGCCTGAAAGTATGCTCTACGCAACCGAGCGTAATACGTTTTCAACGCTGCAATATTGATGGCTTTCTATAAACACAAATAAATAACAAATTTTTAAGAATTTTGTTTTATATTTAAAAGCCATGCGCTTATAATTATGCCAGAAAGTCCAACCAACTCGTTTTGAATTATTTTTAGTCTAAATACAGAAAAAATTTAAAAGATAATATTAAATTTCAATACAAGCGCCTAAAGGTATGCAAAGTAAATAGCACTAGTGGGAAAAGCTGGATGAAATTAAACTAGGAATTGCACCAGAAACTTACTTTTATATATAGTAGGAAAATAATTGTGAACGAAATTTTACTATGGAATATTTATTGCAACGGACACTCGCCTACATTTAGGCTTTAAATTTTGCAAGCCGTAACTCTTTACTTTAACGGCATGGTAGGCAGCCGTAAATTATATGATTTCTTAAAAAAATCAATTTGACACTTTTTTATCTCTGGGTATTTCAGACTTTTATATAGGAAACTCTGAAATATGGCATAACCTTTTATTTGGCTCAACTTACCAACTGCGATTTTCAAGTAATTTTGTTTTGGCATTGAACGCCTTTAAGTATGCAAATGACTGTATGCACTCGTTCCTAGAAATGCTGAAATGACAACTTTGTGTTGCAGACACCTAAAAGGTGTAGCAGAAAATGAAGACATAAAATCTTAATGACAGAAAGAATGCTTGAATCCCACAAAATGTGTTTAACGCCCGCGGGTATGCAACAAATTTTCATAAAAGTTAGGAAACGAGTGTGCAAATTAGCTTTACTTTTCAGCACTTGCTTCAATGGATATTTATTTAAATTCTTACTTAAAATGAAAGGGAACAAAATTGATAAAATTCACTCAGGAGAAGTACGGAAATAGAACTGGTGTCCCATTTGATACTTCCTACAAACCCTAAAAGTATGCAAGCAAAAGTAAAGCACACATCTGAGTATTTTCAAAGCGAGGCACTATAGATTTATCAAAAAAAAACTTTATATGAATAATTACTCTACAAATAACAAACTAATTTTTATCTACCCTCTTTCTTTCTCTATTTTCATCCCCACAGATCGGCTCCTTCTTCATGATCAATCTCTGTCTCGTCGTCATTGCCACACAATTTTCGGAAACGAAAAAACGCGAAATGGAACGTATGCGACAGGAACGTGCACGCTATACATCCACCTCAACGCTGGCATCTAGCACGAACAATTCAGAGCCGGCTACGTGCTATGCGGAAATAGTCAAATACATCGCACATCTGTGGCGGCGTTTCAAGCGACGCATGATAAAGAAGTACAGATTATATAAGTATGATTATTATATTTTTGATTTTATTTTATTTGTTTTGAATATACTTTCAGTTACAGTACTACTTACTAAGTTCCCAACCCCCCAACCCCCGCAGAAATAATGAAAACAAACAACAAAAATTAGCGAATATTATGAACAGAATTTGTATATAAATGACAATAGGTTAATGCTTTAGAGCCTACTAACAAACCCAATCCCTTAAAGCGATAGGTTCATATCTTATAAAATTATATTTACTAACCGCTTTCTTTAGCTTTATAAACCTTAACAATCTGTAATATCGGTTAAATTCAATGCAGCAATCATTTTTGTGTCCGAATTTGAATTGGCCGCCTAAAAGTGGGCTAGTAACAATTTTGAAAGCATTTCGTGAGTCACTTCCGCTTCGAAAAACCCATTTCGCGCCGTATCGACTCACAACTTCAATAACTGCACTTCATAATTCTGGAAATATGCCGCATATATTTGCACAAAATTTTGAAAATATGTAGTTATCCTTTGCAATTAGCTAACCCATTTACCGCCTGCAAAATGAGAACTTGCGCCTAAAGCTATACCACCAAAATTTACCAAGCCTTAAATTACGCGCTAACATTTACAGAGCTTCTGTAGCACACGCTGTAAAGTAGGGTTATTTTTTTAAGTTTCTTTTACTTCAATAAAATTAGAACGCCAAAAATTATGAAGTCACAAAAACCACTGAAATTCTGCACTCTATATAGAAAAAATCATAATTAAATTCGTCTGAAATTATGCTATAGATTTACCGAATCCATTTCCTACAATCTCACGGGACACTGAATATGATTTTTTTTTTTTTTCAAAATGGGACACACCGACAATTTCTTATTCTTTTAAATTACCCTTACGCCTAGGACTATGCTCTGAATTTTAGCACCACTTTACAAATTCCTTTCCAGAATATATTGATAGTAAATTTTCTAAGTTTTCACCTCACTACGTCTTATATAGGTACGTCTAAAGTTTCCTTTCAAAATTTCTAGACAATTCATCATAACTGACTTTCTAATTTTAAAAAAAAAAACTAAAAATTATTTTCCAAAGAAATCCAAAATTTTCACGTGGATTAAGTAACAGCACTTGATTTCAAACGATTCTTCAGCGTTGGCTAAAAGCTCGCATATAAGAAGAGGCGGAAAAAATCTTGGCTTGGGGTGAACATTTATGCTAAATTAACGCATAAAAGCTAACCACATTAAAAAAAAAATAAAAATTTCGAAAAACGTGAAAGCGCCTGAAATTAAGGCCAACAGCACCTACCAACCCAAAAAGCGTGTATAGCGCCTAAAATTTTGCTCAAACGATTTCCCTGAGCATTTTTTATAAAAAAAAGTATGTAATAAGTTGCTCGTATTGTAGGTAGGAAAAAAATTTGGCATCCATATTTCTAAAACAAAAACAAAACAAAATAGCTATTAAGCTTACAAACCCCAAAAAGGATGTCTGGCGCCTAAAATTATGTTCTAAATTTTATTTGAGATATTTTCTAAAATAATTCGTTGAAATTTCAGCCTACTACTTAGGTAATCTTAAATTCGTATAATTGAACGATTTTACATTACCGCTACTAATAAATGTTTAAATGCTTAAAAGTATGCTACTCGTAAGCTTCTTAGAGTGCCTTCAGAGCACACACACATTACAAACAAAAGCTAATGGCAACGCTTAAAATTTGAAAGAAGAAAGTCTGTAAAAAGTCGCATTAGACCGCCAAAATTATGCTTTTGAGAAACAAGTGCCAAAAAATAGGCTATGAAAATTAATAGCTCTTTATTCACACAAAATGAAATGCAGAATAAACTTTTTTCCGCCATTTTACAGCATATGTATTTAGAAACGTGGCAATTTTCAATCTGCAAATTTTATTACGCTTTGATTTTCTTGTGAAAAAATCTCTTTTTGCCACTTTCTCGCCAAAAATTATTTTTAATGAAGATATTTATATTTTACCAAAGCTGCGCCTAAAATTTTGGCACGAAAATCCCCAAAAAAATAAAAGCGAATAATAGCGAACGTCCGCTAATAAAATGATGAAATACTTCACGCTTTATGACTTAGTTAATACTTATTTTAAAAATTTTTTTTTGTACAAATTTCATTTTTTTATTATCAAAATTTTTTGTTTTGTTTACGTTGCGAAATTTTTTTCGCTTATCACTTTGTCTGCTTGGTTAGTTCCAGTTAATTAAAAGCCATTTGCTTTTTGCTTAAGTACACATTTTTATTTATATTTTTATAATTTATTTACTTGCCTACTTAGGTATGTATGAGTTAAAAAAAACACGAAAAGAACTAGCGCACACTGCATGCATTACGCATTTATTTATTGATTCACAAATTGTGGTCCTTAGTTAGCGAGTTAGTTAGTAATAAAATATTTATTTAGTGAAATATTGAGTGCAATTTTTTATTTTTTTTTTTTTAAGAAAAGTATGAAATATTTTGAATAGGATTTTTGTATACACAAGCATTTTTGTTAACACACACACATACATACAAACATTGCATATGCACGCATTCATATTCATTCAAATTAAATTTTTTCTAAGCATTAAAGCATTCTGTATGCGAGTGAGCAGGGAAAGCAAATGTAAATGAAAGTGTGCAATAAAATTTGATTTGTGTAGTATTTTAATAAATTGGAAAAACTATTTTACAAAAATCTTAAAAATTTCTGGATAAAATAATAATAATTTTTTTTTTGTTGCAATTCTATCAACTGACTTTTGCGTACTAATTTTATACTCGGTTGCTTCCACTTATCATTTAAATTGGCACAGAACGATACGCACACATAAATAAACTTGTATATTGTGCTCTCTGCTGCTCAGAATACCTCACCTAAACCCACAACCATTAGGAAGTCCAGAATAACCAAGAAATTTCTCGCGACTTCCTCACATAGTATTTCTACACTCTAGGATAAGATGCGATGGTATCGGGGAACTTCTCAGTTATAAGTGTTATCGTTAAAACTTTGTTCCATAACAGTTATTAGATGATAAATATTTTTTATTTGGTCAATAAGAGTTATAACTCAACGTTTATTTTTTACGTCGCGTGATGAATGTTATGCAGGAGAAATATGTTTTCGGTCGCCAATAAGAGTTATTTCCCAACGTCTATTTTTTAAGTTGCTTGATAACAGTTATTACCCAATGTTTATTTTTACGTTGCCTGATACCAGTTATTTCACTCCTCCTCTTTTATTTTCATAATCTTTATCTTTTTCTCCATCTCCGTTTTCGTCCATACTCTTATCTTGCAACGTTGATCGGACAACGTAAAAAGTAAACGTTGGATAATAAGTGTTATCAAGCAACGTAAAAAATAAACTTGTGTCATAGCTCTTATCGGCGAAATGAAAGAAATTTGTATTTGTATTTGTTATAAAACAAAGTTTTCATTAAATTTCAGAATTCGGGCATCGTTTTCAAATTGTAAATTCGAGGCATTCGAGTTATTTTTGGTACCTGGATGGTATCTCTATGCTGAAGTCTTTAATGGCGTATTGACCCGCCGGAAAAGAGGCTGCAAATGTTGCGAATCTATCAGACTCCTGATTGCCCTAAATACCATTGCAACTTCTTTTAGTATACGGAGACTGAGGTCGAGGTTATCTCAGCCTCGTAAGAGAATAGGTTTTAAGTCATCTAAAAGACTGCGGTCTTATTACAGTACTTGGTCCCTGGCAAGTCTGCCTCTGCACACAGACTAATGGCGAACCTTTTGGCAGGAAAAATATCCGAGTATTTCCTCTATTGTCACTGTTTAAACTTATAAAAACTTTTCCAATGGTCTGAAAATCGAACTGGTTTTTATGCACAAAATAATTGCTGCTTCTGCACCCTACATCGATCTATTTGATCTCTGTTTGTCCAAAAAAACTTCTTGGGATTTTGTAGAGGCTCATCAAAGCAATATTTAGCGGTAAATCAATCTCCAAATGCAGCTATCGAATTCCCTCCATCATAAGTTACCTTAGCAAGTGAAAGAGTTGACCACCAGTCGCAGTTCTTTTATTGGTATTAAATAGCTAGATTTGCTCAATGCTTGTGAGTGTTAATCGAACCGTTCTCGAAAGCATGCCAACCCGGGTTTCGTAAAAAGCTTGAAAAGCCCAAGTTCTTTGATACGTCAGCCCAAACCGACCAACTGTTGTAGAACCAAATATGAAGAAGAAGTAGCTTCTCCGCGGGTTTTATTAGGCCGCCCTTTGAATTCAAGATAGCGCCGCATGTCGTTTTACCATATGGATCCCGTTGGTACGCAAGTTCAGAGTTCGCCTAAGGCTAACACAATATATTATGGAAAAAGGGGTTTGGCTCTGATATATGGATTTATTGAAAGTTAACGCACACGACTTTAATGATAACAATTTTGAACGTACCCGGAAAGCTACAGAAGCGCATGTTAGGCGAAGGAGTCAGACACCTTCATTGCCTCCATTAGTAATCAATTAAAGATCCACATAACTGAGCACATTTCAACTTACTCAAAGTAACAAAAGACGTATTACCACGCATATCATTATATTTTTATCAGCACCGCCACAACCCTGGCATATCATTCACCACATTCTTTTCACATCTGTTAATGTATGTATGTTTGTTTGTGCAACTGCTTGTTGCCATCCCACCACACCAACACATATTCAAAATCATCTCATTCACATTTCCAACCCACCAGACATTCAACACATAGCATAGCCAAATAGATAGACAGTCAGCATTGTCAGACAGACAACCAATCAGTCAGGCATGACATACAGAAAGAAAGAAAAATATACGAAATAAGTTTATAAATGCAATTTGACACTAATATTTACACTTTGCTCTCTATTTATGCTTCTTTCATTCGAATCGCACAAAAAAAAAAAACAAAAATGACAAATGACAAACACAAACACAAACAACAATGAAACAAAAATGGCATGCAAATTCCGCTCTCGCTACGCCTTCGACTGTGTGTGCATTGCCGGCAACACTGCACAACGATATGGCGAATGAAATGACACAAATTGTTTGACTGACAAATATGGCTGGATGTATGTGAAATGTCAACTAAATTCCACTTGTGTGCTCAAACACACACGCGTCACTTGTCATCTGTCAACTGTCATAAATTGACTACAAAATAATTGAAAACCATGACTCCCACCAGATATCAGAAACAACAACGCAATGAGGGTCTCCTCCCCAATGCCGACAATTTGACCTTTTCGCCGTCGCGCATCAAATGCCATCACGCGAAGTGCCCCAAATATGGCAATCGGAAGCCGTCGAGCATACAGGATCAAATGATCACCGTTATGGTGCCGTTAAACTCGAATAATAACAATGTGAGCAACAGCAGCAACAACAATAATAATGGTGGTGGCGGCGGCGGTGTTGGTGTAAATGGCAACGCGGCGCGTAATCATCAAGCGGCAGCGACTTCAGCAACACCAGCCACAATTTTAACACCAACCCCACAAGCGACAACAGCAACAACAGCTACGGCAGCACTCACTTTATCACTTAGCGCCACATCGACACCGGCCACTACACCGCTCGTGAATGGCGGTAATAGCAGCACTGGCCTGCCTAATAACATCAATAACAACAATGTGAGTGTTGTCGGTCAGCAGCAGCAACAACAGCAACATTCCTCTTCCGAGAATTCTGTGCAATCGCTGGAGCAAGCGACGCGCAACTCGAATTTGAAGAAGTCGGCAAATCACTTGGCACCCGAAGCGGCGAAGCAGCAGGCGCAAGGTCAGCAGGCGGGGCAACAGAAGACAATTTTGCTGAAATTTCCCTCGAATGCCGAATCGGAGCAATTGATTGTGAGTTTTTTGTTTAGCTGAATGTTGCGTTAGTAGAGAATTTGTTAGCTAAAGTTTTATTTAATGAGGCACGATGATTTAGAGAAAAAAAAACTTAAAATTTGGTAATCTTGAAAGAATGAATAAAGTTATTTGGATCATCGTGCCTAAATATTTGATTCTCTTAGATAATACACAATATTTTTTTAGAAAATAAGTACACAAATTTATACCTCTTTAATATAGACGTGCTTTAGAGCTTCTGCAGACACACTATCCACCTTTTTCACAATCTACTATGTAGTATTAGAAAGGAAATGCACACTTTTTTACTAAAATTAAAAAATCAAACAAAACACTTCGAAGATTTTTTTAAGAATATACATACATTAATTAAAGAAACCATTTTTTTGGAAACGGAAGAAAAATATTAAAGAAATGATAACAAAATTCAAATCCGTTAAAAAATTGTATGCAAAAAAAATTGTATTTCTTCTCAGAAGATTTCCTAAAAACAAGCAAAACCACTTAGAAATTTTATTAGAAAGGGAAAACGGAAATGCTTTCCAAAAGAATTTTTTGCATGAAAATATCGACATAAGGGGAAAGACTCAAACCAGATTTAATAATATAATATTTAAATAAAAATTAATAGTAACCATTTTTAGTGAAAAAAATTACATAGTTTTTTTTTTAAGAAAATAACTTTTTTTAAAGAGAAGAAACAATTTTTGGATGTCTATTAGAAAGAGATGCACAAATTAGTTGGAAAAAAATATATTTTTACAAAGAAACAACCCTTGCATAGAAACAAGAAATTCATTTTTTCATATCTTTTTCAGAATATAAAGTAGGAACGTCTTTGGTAAGGAGAATAATTCTTAAAAAAAATGTCTGACAGAAACATAATGAAATAAAAATTTTCTAATCGAAAAAAATTATTTTTTTTTTTAATTTTTCACAAAATATAAAAAATTAAGGCAAAAATTTAAAAAAGACAAAATTCAAATATTTATATTGAATTTTATTTAAAAAAATAAAAATTATCTCAAAAGCTCAAAAAAGGAGTATATTTCTCAATATTACAACTTTTATACAACTTCAAACTTTTATAAAAGAGAGATTCTTAAAAACGTGCATCCAAAAAGATTTCTTAAGTGCGCGTAATTAGTTAACATTTTCTTAAATAAAGACAATCTTTAATAAGGGTACATAATTTTAGAATATTAGCAAAAAATTTAAAATTTTAGAAAAAGTTTAAAAAATTTTATAGAAGAATTTTTTCTCTTAAAGTGACTTCATTGCTTAAAAATGCTTTTCAAAGTATTTCCTGAAAACGACTGTAAATATTTCTCGAAATTTCCTTAAATATTTTTTAAATGTATTTTGCAGAAAATTCATTACTCTACAAAATGTTAAGATTTATTGTTTCTTTTTAAAATACTATCCTTATTAGAGAATATTTTGCGAAATATAATCGTATTTTAGGAAGTGTTCATGAAAGTGCTTTGTTTAGAAAAATATTCATTTTATTACAGAAATTGCAAAACCAATTTTTTTATATTTATATTAATTACAACAAAGTTGGTCCTTTCAAAAACATTCCCTAAAATACGAGTACATCCCGCAAAATACCCTTAAAAAAAACAAAAAACTTTAAAATTTTTGAAGAAAATCTTTCTGTTAAAATAGAATCCTGAAACGATATTCCCAAAAATATATTTCCCGAATAATTTCCTAGAAAATTAAAAAGCAGTAAAAAAGGATTCTTTTTTTATTTGTTAAGTAATTTTTCTTTTATTTAAATAATATTTTTATGTAAAAAATTCCTTCTAATCATTTTCTTGGAAAAAATTTAAAAATAAAGAATTTAAAAAACATATACATACATATGTATGTATATGAAACCAAAACAAAAATCTTGTCACATTTTTTCATAAAACTTTTTTAAATTCTTTCCCTTAACAGTTCCCCAAAAAAAATTTATTCCATTAAAAAATCCAAAGATAAGATCTTATTTAAAACAAAAGATTTGTCTTAGAAATAATAAAATTTAGAGAAAAATTTAAAGGAACGAATTTCCTTCATCCCGTGTCAAGTTTGGTTTGGACACAAACCGGTTTCGGCGTTGTGCCAAAAAAAACAAATTTATTTGTTTCATAAACAAAATTTCTGTTTGTTTATTTAAAAAGAAAACAAGCTCTTTAAATTGCGCTCCTAACAAAAACAAAAAATATTTCGATGAAAACTATTTTAGATTCCTTAAGCCTGTTTTAAGAAATAAAATATTTTTCAAAAAAAAAAACAAATTTCTTTGAAACTATTTTTTCACCAAAGAAAATGTTTTAAAATTATTTTTAGCAAAAAAAAAATATTTTGAAAGATATTTTTTATTTTTTTTTTTATTAGTTCATTAAAAACTTAAACACGTCCTGATCATGTTTTGAGAAAAAATAGGGCTTTACTTTAAACATTTC